ATGTTTGCCTGCCTCTGTTTTAAAGACAAAAGTCCTAAAAATATATTGTGAGAAGATTGGTAAAAAATAAGGATTTGCTGATGGATATTGGGAATATGTGATAAATTATGAATAGAACTAATAATCACCATTCAAATATCATGTTGTAAATAGGGAAAAGTTTCTGCTGCATTCCTTATCTTGGTGTAAAAAGAATCTGTCATCAAAGAAAATGGACTCCTCACATATTACTTAAAGATAGTGTTGTATGATTTCAGAAAAAATAGATAAAATTTATATTTATTTTTCTCTTCTTGCTTTCACTACGCCTATTTCTTAATGAAAAAGGATGCGGGGACATCTGTAGGGGAAAGCTTTTGTGAAAAGGTGGATTATATTTTTGTCCAAAAACCAGGCTTATTTCTTCTGAATATATTAGCTATCAAACCTATTTCTCTGTTCTTAGTTTGCTGATTTTATTTTAGATCACCAGAAAATAAAATTGTATCAGAGTTGTTAAGAAGGGAGTAGTTAGTAAAATTACCAATTCTTTCCATGAATACTTTGTAAGCTTGGATGTTTTGAAATAGAATAGTGAAATAATTATGAAATTTACAATTCTTATTTACCTAGGATTATGTAATTTATCTAGAATTCTTTACTTTGGATTCTTACTAAGGGAGTGTCACTTTTTATCTCTGCTACTTATCCTTCTCTATACATTGCTGATTTCTCAATGTATGCTTACTTTAAGTCATACTCTACATACATTTTTTCTTAAAAAAATGATTGTTAGAATATTACTTTTAATGTCAGTTTTCTATCCTGCATCTTGCTTTCTTTGCGTTTTGACTTAGAAGTGCTCAAAATATTTTGTTACCCGCAGAAAATTTTTGAATAATGTTTGTTTATTTATTTGAAAGTTAATAAGACCCCTTTGAGGTGATGAAGATATGTCTGAATCTTGTTATCTGGGGGGAATTCAAGCCAGTTGTTCTTAGGTTCCCCTGCTTGAGCAGGGGGCTGGACTAGAAGACCTCCAAGGTCCCTTCCAGGTCTATTCTATTTTAAAGGGTCCTTGGAACTATTAGTTCTGCTACCTACATTCTGAATCCATGCCCCTCCTAGTTTATTAAGGCCTCCTGGGAAATGGCCTTGCAGGAGGGGTGATACAGCTGTCCTGAAGGACGTGGTGGTGCACCCCCTTCTCAAAAAGCCATCTTTGCAGCTCACAGTATTGAACAACTTTTGTCCAGTCTCCTATCTTCCTTTTTTAGGGAAGGTTGTTGGCGCACAACTATAAAGGGCCCTTAATGAAGTGAATTATTTGGACCTTTTCAGTCTGGGTTCAGGCCGGAGCACAGCACTGAAATGGATTAGTGACATTTGTTGATGACCTTTGGAAGGTTCTGGATGGAGTTGTTATGACCATTCTGGCCCTCCTGGACCTTGTAGCAACTTTCAGTATCTTTCATTGGTATCTTTCTGGATCGGCTTTGGGAGTTGGGAGTATGAGACACTGTGTTGTGGTAGTTCTCTTCCTTCATGGCTGGCCTCAGTGTTGATACGGAAGGAATGGTTGAGTCCTAAGCCCCTTGAATGTGAATTGCCCCAGGGCTCCAGCCTTTCATAAGGTGAAACCACTAAGGGAGGTCATCCATTGGTATAGGATTCAGTATCATCAGTATGCCAATGATATCCAATTAGAGATATATATCTCCAACCCTAGCCAGACTAGTGATGTTAGGGCCTTTTCTGTAGCAGTCCCTACCTTATGGAACACTGTGCCCTAGCTTTTGGCAGATTTCTATCCTCCTAGCTTTCCATAAAGCTTTTGAAGACCTGGCTTTTCCCCAAAATACTGGGATAGGATTAAATGATTGCACATTAGAAGTTTGACTTGGCACCAGGTTTTTGTTGTTTTTAATGTTTTAATGTATTTGGTTTTATAATTTTAATATTTTTGTACATTGGTAACTTGGTACTCATTGTTAATTGGTTCTGGGAGGTGGGACAAGTACTAAAAACAAGTGCCAAACAGACCACATGACTTACACATGACCCTTTGTTTTGTCTGGGAAGGACTTCCTGTCTGTCCTTTTTCTTATGTCAGCAACCTTCCCAGCATGGTTGACTTCCTGTCCATTCTCCACGACCATCCCCCTTTTCCTATTACAACACGTCAAGTACCCCCAAAAAGTACCAGGACAAAGTTTTCACGTCAGAATGCATCGAGTACCAAATTCTATGAGTTTTGAAGCAGTTGAGTATCAGGGTACCACTGTATGTTGTTTTAATTTTTGATTGAGAGCTGCCCAGAGTTGGTTATAAGATGGGCAGCTGTATAAATTTTATAAACAAGTAAGTAAATAAATATAGCATAAAGTGCTAAACTAAATAATTCTCAGTTGGCTAAAAGATAAATCCTGGGCTATTTAATTACGTCTAATAGAATACTGCAAGGAAAGGAACACTATGCAAGCAGTGTTAAGGATAGCTTCTTCAGTAATTTGTGATATGTTGACATTTGTAAATGGGTTCAGAAAACAAGAGACTTAAGCTTCAATCACTGAATGAAGGTTGATGATTTTGTAGTTGTCATTATATTGGGATGAACTAATTTGAAACTTGCAGGATCTTGCTTTTTAATATAGCCCCGAAGGCTGCTTTCTGAAGCCAGTTGCAGAATACTTACTCGGGCAATATTTCTAAACACACATTCCAATACAGAAATCAGATTTTAGTATCAGTTGGCTGCTTTGGCTAAAATGATATTCATGAAAAATTTACTCTTAGTCTACCCCATCGCCAGTATTTCTCTAATCTAAATAATTAAATTTGGGAAGAGTGAATTCATTCAAGTATTGCTGTTATTAGACAACAAAAAGCACAAAACCTGATCAAACCGTTTCAGAACATTTAGAGACATCAATAGATTTAAATCTATTATCTTGCTTTTAGACTTACATTACAGTATTGTTCATTATTTTGTAGAAAGAACAACAGTGAAATTAATGTATAGATGAATTACTGCATCAGTTTAGAAAATGATGGCTACAAAAGAATTGGAAAGATATAATAAATATTTTCCCCAAGTGCTGGGATTAGATCAGTGGTTCTCAACCTTTTTAATGCCGCGACCCCAACCGGTCGTAAGTCGAGGACTAAACCAGTCGTAAGTCGAGGACTAAACCGGTTGTAAGTCGAGGACTAAACCGGTCGTAAGTCGAGGACTACCCAACCGGTCATAAGTCAAGGACTTTCCCTGCCCGGGAGCGCCACGCATGCGTGGTTCCGCCCCCTGCGCCGGCCGAGGCGTAGCTGGCAAGCGGCAGAGATGGAGCAGGCCGACCACCAGCTGGCCCAGCTCAAGGGAGGTAAGGCACCCGCCGGAAAAGGGGGAAAAAAATGGCGGACAAAAAAATGGTGGACAAAAAAAATGGCGGACAGCCTTGCTTGGCGACCCCCATGAAATGGTCGATCGACCCCAAATGGGGTCCCGACCCACAGGTTGAGAACCACTGGATTAGATTATGACTGCACATATAAAAATTTTAACTTGTTATCAGGTTTTTGTTGTTAATGTTTTAATGTGTTTAGTTTTATAGTTTTACTAGAAGAAGAGCCTAATGCTGGGAAAGATTGAGGGCAATAGAAGAAGGGGACGACAGAGAATGAGGTGGCTGGATGGAGTCACTGAAGCAGTAGGCGTGAGCTTAAATGGACTCCAGAAGATGGTAGAGGACAGGAAGGCCTGGAGGAACATTGTCCATGGGGTCACGATGGGTCGGACACGACTTCGCAACTAACAACAACAAATGATTTTATATGTTGTTTTAACTTTTGATTGGGAGCCACCCAGAATTGGTTAGAAGATGGGCAGCTCTACAAATGTTTTAAATAAATAAAAATATAAAGGCAATACTAAACATAAATATAAGGAAGTATATGAAGAAACAATGAAGCTAGAATATTATTGTAAAACTAATATAGTATATATGGCAATGTTACTTTATTATAATTCCAATAACAGAATCAAAATTGTAAAGTCCAAAACTTGTTTTGTGTATGATATTGCAATGGCCAGTTTATGCATACAATAAATGATAAATTATTAAATAAATACGTTATTAAAAAGCTGGAAAAATATTTATATCTAAAGTGAGTATATTCCAAAATCCAAGCTCATACAGGAGATAAATTGGGACCAAAACTGTTTCAGGATTTCTAAATTTCTTCATTAAACAAAGTTTTATTTAAAAATGGTTGTGGGGAAGAAGGGAGGACTTGGCTTTCTTTGGAAATCATGAAGTTTGCATACCCAATCCTTTAAAAAAAGTAGAAAATGGTTCATAAATATAATTACTTAATTCTGTCTCCAAGTTTAATTAAAAAAGAGGTTGAGCAGATGATTATCTTTTTCTTTTTGCAGACAGGACAAAAGTGCTATAGATCTTATAATCAAAGATTTTAAATAATTATGCAAAATATTGACTTTACATCATACTAAAATGTGAAAATGGTGGAAACTGAATCTCTCCAGATCATTGCAAGAAATGCCTTATATTTGTATTAATGATTTAAACTATTCAACAAGAGTGTCTGTTCAGTAAAAATACCATTACGTTATACTGCATTTAAAAGAAATTTTTAGAAATCAAAGTATGAGATCCATGTAATCCATTTTGTTCCCAATAGTTACTGAGATTGTTCAATAGGCAGACTGCAAAAGTTGTAAAAAAAAATCAGGTGTTTGCTTGATGGCTTTTCCAAAAACTATTAACAGAAATCTTTTCTGTTTAAATATCAAAGTTTTAATTTGATTATCATAACTTATATACATGTACTGTTTTAAAGTTACCTGAATTGGTGGCTATCACCAGCTGTTAACAAAAGCTGTAATGGTTGAACATACTACAAAACAATATTTTTTTCTGTGTTTCCTAATCTGATATCAACTTATTTATTGTTCTAGTTTATTGTGTTACAGTGTATCCTAAATTTTTCTATTTTTATTATAGCATACCTCTCATGGTGAAGGACGACAGGAAATTTCTTCCCGAACTAGTCGGTCTGGGGCTCGCTGTAGGAATTCCATAGCTTCCTGTGCAGATGAGCAGCCACATATTGGGAATTACAGACTCCTTAAGACAATTGGAAAGGGAAATTTTGCAAAAGTGAAACTGGCCAGGCACATTCTTACTGGCAGAGAGGTAAAGTCTTGTACTAGCATTTTTTTTAGATTTTGCAGAATAAATTTCCTAATATAATAATTTTTAATAATTAAAATAATGTGAACTTTACATAGAATCATGTACATTTAACAGGATGGTTTTTTTCTCTATAATCAATACTGACAAAATGATTTGGCCTAAAAAGTACAACTAAAAGGTTGATTAAATGTTGCCAAATTAAACTGTGGTTGTTTTCAGACTCTAAGTCATGTCTCATTTTTTATGGCCCCATAGACATCCTTCACTATCTCCTGGAGTTTGTCCAAATTCATGTTCATTGCATCAGTGACACTATTTAACCACCTCATCCTCTGCCATCCCTTTCCCCCTTTGCCTTCAATCTTTCTCAACATGAGGGTGTTTTCCAATGAATCCTCTCTTCTCATTAGATGGCCAAAGTATTTGAGCTTCAGCTTCATTATCTGTCTTTCCAAAGGACAGTAAGGGTTGATTTTCTTTAGGATCGACTGATTTGATCTCCTTGCAGTCCAAGGGACTCTCAAGAGTCTTCTCCAACCCCACAATTCGAAAGCATCAATTGTTCAGCACTCAGCATTATAGTCCAACTGTCTCAGCTATACATTACTACAGAGAAAACAATAGCTTTGACTATACAGACCTTTATTGGCAAGGTGATGTCTCTGCTTTTTAATATGCTGTTTAGGTTTGCCATAGCTTTCCTCCCAAGGAGCAAGTGTCTTTTAATTTCATGGCTGTGGCCACCATCTGCAGAGATCTTGGAGCCCAAGAAAATAAAAATCTGTCATTGATTCCATTCCTTCACTTTCTATTTGCCAGGAAGTGATGGGACCGGATGCCATGATCTTCGTTTTTTAACGTTGAGTTTCAAGCCAACTTTTGCACTCTTCTCTTTCACCCTCATCAAGAGGCTCTTTAGTTCTTCTTCACTGTCTGCTATTAGAGTGATATCGTCTGCATATCTGGGGTTGTTGATATTTCTCCCGGCGATCTTAATTCCGGCTCGTGATTCATCCAGCCCGGCATTGCACAAGATGTACTCTGCATATAAGTTATATAAGCAGGGTAACAATATATAGTGTTATCGCACTCCTTTCTCTATTTTGAATCAATCAGTTGTTCCATGTCCAGTTCTAACTGTTGCTTCTTGACCCGCATACAGGTTTCTCAGGAGACCGGTAAGGTGATCTGGTACGCCTATCACTTTAAGAACTTAATACAATTTGTTGTGATCCACACAATCAAAAGTTTTATCATAGTCAATAAAACAGAGGTAGATGTGTTTGTGTAATTCCCTTGCTTTTTCCATAATCCAGCAAATGTTGGCAATTTTATCTCTAGTTTCACTGCCTCTTTGAAACTCAGCTTGTACTTCTGGTAGTTCTAGGTTCACATATTGCTGAAGCCTAGCTTGTAGGATTTTGAACATAACTTTGTTAGACTATGAAATGAGCCCAATTGTACAGTAGTTTGAGCATTTTTTGGCATTGCTCTTCTTTGGGATTGGAAAGTAAACTGACCTTTTTTAATCCTCTAGCTGTTGAGTTTTCCAAATTTGCTGTCATATTGAGTGCTGCACTTTAACAGCATCATCTTTTAGGTTTTTAAATAGCTCAGTTGGAATACCATCAACTCCAGTAGTTTCATTGTTGGTAATGCTTCCTAAGACCCACTTAACTTCATACTCCAGGATGTCTGATTTGAGGTGAGTGATATCACACACCATCGTGGATATCGGGCATTAAGATCTTTCTTGTATAATTATTCTGTCTATTCTTGCTACCTCCTCTTAATCTCTCTGCTTCTCTGCTCATCTTTGCACGAAATGTTCCTTTGATATCTCCAATTTTCTTGAAGGGATCCCAAAGTCTTTCCCTTTCTATTTTTTCCTCCATTTCTTTGCATTGTTCACTTGAGAAGGCTTTCTTATTTCTCCTTGCTATTTTCTGAAAATCTGTATTCAGTTGAGTATATCTTTCCCTTTCTCCCTTGCCTTTTGCTTTCCTTCTTTTGTCAGCTATTTGTAAAGCCTCATTAGACAGCCACTTCACTGTCTTGCATTTCTTTTTCTTTGTGATGGTTTTAGTTGCTGCATCTTATATAGTGTCACAAACCTCCGTTCCTAGTTCTTCAGTCACTCTGTCTATCAGATCTAGTCCCTTAAATCTATTCATCACCTCCATTGTATATTCATAAAGGATATGATTTATGTCATATCTGAATGGCCTAATGATTTCCCCTACTTTCTTCAATTTAAGCCTAAATTTTGCAATAAACTGATGTGAGCCACAGTCCGCTCCAGGTCTTGTTTTTACTGACTGTATAGAGCTTCACCATCTTTGGCTGCAAAGTACATAATCAGTCTGATTTCTGGCAATGTCCACGTGCAGAATCGGCTCTTAGGTTGTTGGAAAAAGTGTTTGCTATGACCAGCATGTTATCCAGCATGTAGGGAATGTAGAATCCACAAATGGGTTTTAGAAGTCCTCTAGCCCAATTAGACCAATCAATCAAAGTTGCCACGCCCCTGCAGGGACTGACCATGCCCCAGTTTCTTTTTGGTCTCAGCCCTGAAGAGATGTGAGAATTTGGCTCCCGATTGTTAGGAGAACAGGTAGTAAATTTCCATTCGTGGATTCTTCCTTTTCCCTTTGGTGAATTAGTTCAGCGCTGGGCTCAGCGCTGCCCTAGTCTTTCCATTCTCAGCCTCATTCCTTTTCCCTCGGCAAGCCTTTCTACTGCTAGCCAGCTGATCGTCGCGATCGCTCTTGACAAAACTAACAAAACAAAACTTTGCTAGCCTTTGCCTTGTTTCACTTTGTACTCCAAGACCAAACTTGCCTGATATTCCAGTTACCTTTTGAAAATGTACCTCCTACTTTAGCATTCCAATATCCTATGATGAAGAGGATATCTTTTTATGATGTTAGTTCTAGAAAGTGTTGTAGGTCTTCATAGAGCCAGTCAACCTCATCTTCTTCAGCATCATTGGTTGGGGATAGACTTGGATTACTGTGATGTTGAATGGTTTGCCTTGGATTCAAACCAAGATCATTTTGTCATTTTTGAGCTTGTACTCCAGTACTACTTTTTCCACTCTTTTATTGAGGGCTACTCCATTTCTTCTAAGAGATTCTTGCCTACAGTAGTAGATAATGGTCATCTGAATTAAATTTGTCCATTCCCATCCACTTTAGTTCACTGATTCCCAAGTTGTCGATGATCAATCTTGCCATCGCTTGTTTGATCCCATCCAGTTTTATCTTGATTCATAGATCTTACATTCAAGGTTCCTATGCAATATTGTTCTTTATAGTATCGGGTTTTCCTTTCACCATCAGATACATTCACAGTGAGCATCCTTTCAGCTTTGGTCCAGCTGCTTCACTCTTTCTGGAGCTACTTGTAACTAGCCTCCACTCTTCCCCAGTAGCATATTGGACAACTTCCAACCTGAGGGACTCCTCTTCTGGCCTGATATCTTTTAACCTTTTGATACACTCCTTGGGGTTTTCCTGGCAAGGATATTGGAGTGGGTTGCCATTTCCTTCTCTAGTGGACCATATTTTGTCAGAAATCTCCACTATGACCTATCCATCTTGGGTGGCCCTACACAATATAGCTCATAGCTTCATTGAGCTGCACAAGCTCCTTTGCCATGACAAGGCAGTGAACTATGAAGGGGAATGATTAATTAAATTAAAATTTAACTAAAGTAAATTAAAGTATAATTAAACTATTAAAAATTAATGTTTTTGGAAATTCCAGTAAATTGTATTCATTACAAGAAGCTAAATATCTTCCTTTATAGAAATATTGGCCTGACACAGATTTCTTTATTTCATATATATTCTTGACAGTATTTATGTATAGCATCTTTATATAAAAATCTGCCATTAAAATGAATTTGGATTCTGTTGCTCAGTTAAGAATGCAAGCGTACTTCTGCATTAGGACATGGTCAATTATTCAAATATTATCTTTTCTATTTTGGCTAACTAGATACCAAAGGTTCAAAAGAATACAAAGAAAGTAGCCCCCTCTGCAATTGTTCCCCAGCAATTGTAGAATACGAGTGGTGCATATGTAGTGGACAATGTGATAGTAGCCGCTATCCATTAATGACCAGATTCCCTATGCACTTGTATAATCTTTTTCTGAAATCATCTGTCAGTGGTTGTAATCATTTTTCATAAGCAGATGACTCCAATTCATCATGTTGGTTGCCCTTTTCAGCTTCTTTCTGCAGCTGTCGAATATCTTGGTGCTGCAACCAGTTAGATACAGATGTGTTATACATATGCAAAGGTTGATGCTTTATGTTCAGTTGTCTTCTTTCTTATCTCCACAAACAACAAGAGCAGAATGTTTTCCTGAGTAGCCAATCTTAATCTGTTCAGACTGGTGAGATACTTGAACCATATTATAATATCTAAGCTGAGAAGGGCCTCTACTGGCTCAATTTAATGCTCTTCCTTCAGTCATTTTGGAAGGCAGATACAAAAAAATTCCATATGCTGCTTGACTATGTCCATGTGATACAGATGCTGTAGAATAGAATTCTCCAACCTTTCCGGCTTTGTGTACTGGAGAGGCGAGGGGCGGTAGAGGGTACTGGAGAGGGGAGGGGCGGTAGAGGGGATGGTTCTGCCCAAGCAGTGGGCAAGTGCCCATGCACACAGCTCCTTTTGTGCAAGTGGCGGGCTGCTGGCACAAGTGGGGATGCACAAGTGCATGCTGTAGCCTGCTATTTCCATGGCCTGATTCTGAACAGTTCAAGGTCCAGTAGTGGGTTGCAGCCTCAGGGGTTCGGGACCCCTGCTGTAGAATCTATTGCCCACATTGTATTGTACTGCTGTTTTTATAGTGATACTAGATTCTGTATTTATTTCTCCTCATCTAATAAAATACCAAGTCATTTTGATACTTTTTCATACAAATTCTGCTTGGCTGCTGTGTAAGACTAGGAAAAGCATAGTTTTTTTCAAGAGTCAGTGATACATAGTATAGCACAGGTATGCCAATGCTGAATCTGAAGACGTTTTCCCACGTCAGACCCAAATCCAACACATATCTACTATATTTTATTGGCTAATTAAGTATTGAGCCTTTTCAGCCTGAATTTAAAATGATTTAATAGTACTAATACAGGAGAATATTTGTAGTTCAGGGTTGACATGAGGGGTCCTTGAGGGTCTCTGAGCTAGCTTGTTTTCTTACAGACATTTCATTACCCAAACTAGGTAACATCATCAGTGCTAGTGATGATGTTACCTAGTTTGGGTAATGAAACATCTGCAAGAAAAGCAAGCTCAGAGACCACCAAGCACCTCTCATGATTGAATAGTCTTTTATTAGTCGCCAGTTATGAAGCAATTTATCTTGTGTTTCATGAGAATATGTACATTTTTAAATCACCTTGAACATAATTATAAGAAAAACACTAGAAACAGACAGCTATGCACCCTTCAAAATTTCTTTCTGCTCTTTCATTTATAGGTTTAGAGTCACCCACCTTTAATGGCTGACTTTTGATAACATTTACTATTTTTCTGATACCATTTGGAAGGACAGTTTCCCTTAAACATGTTTTTAGAGGCAATCTCTTTACTCACCATACCTTATGTCTTCAAGTAGAACATAATGTTGAGGTAATAGATTTAGTACTCTTAGCTCATGTATTTGCCTTTTATTAATGAAAAGGTTAAGCTTTTGGAGATTTTTGGCAGAAAATTACAATGGAAGGAGAGCTAAGTAGAAGGGAATTATATAAAACAGGAAAGATAATACAAATCATATGACAAATCAGGTAAACTATTGTTTAAGAAAAATTAAATGAAAATAAATATCACCTGTTTGCTGCTAATTACTATAGAAATATAGTAACACTGCTTTCAAGAAGAAAACAGTATTTGCAAACAAACAGCTGTCTATTGTATCAGCTGATGTTTCCAAGCAGTTCTGTTACACCCCCCAGTGAATTATGTTAGAGTGAATTCAGTCTGAAGACCATAAAGCTGTATTCAATAAGGATATTATAAACACCTAGTTCAAACTAGTAATGTATTATCCACATATATTTTGAACTATGTTTTGTGTTAAAGCTGGTTGATTGACTCTTAACAGCAACCTAAACAGACAAGAAAAACATGGAATTCATAATTTTGAGGTCCACTGTGATTTAATTTGACCAGTTAAAATATTTCTGTTTGGCACAATGAAAGTCGTGATTGCAGAGTATTCATAATGTTGAAGAAATGTATAAATATATTTCTACTTATCAGAATTCTAGATTCAGTAAATTATAGACACCCACACCCACACGTGTGTGTATGTATTTGTGTATATGTAGAGAGAGAGATTCAGGAGATCACTTTCTATGTTCTAGGTAACAATTGACTGTCCATTATTAGTAACAAACACCTGTCTTCACTGCAGAAGAAATAATGTAAATAATTGATTATGGACTGTATTTAGAAATGGGATTTGAAGAAAGATTCTGTTATAACTTCCTTTAGATTCTATGGGCTGTTTTCCTTTTTTCAAATCCCATTTTGTCATCCTTGCCATCTTTATTCTTCATTTTTGTCTCTTGTTGTTTGTCTTGTCTTTAATGTTTTAAACAATTTGTAAACTGCCCAGAATCACTGGAAGCTGGGTGCTGTATATATTATATCATCATCCATTATTATTATTACTATTGACATTAAATTGATTTTTGTGCACTGGTTGCTCATATACTATTAACAATAAATATTTCTGCTTTGCAATACAGCTACAGTTAACAGAAATCAAACAATTGTATTTTTTCTAGGTTGCAATAAAAATAATTGACAAAACTCAATTGAATCCAACTAGTCTACAAAAGGTAAGTTTATTAGTTGTTCCATCTTTTAGGTATACTACTTTGTTTAGAATATTCTTTTCTGGCACTAATGTCTTCCATTTTTAAACATTGTGTATTATTTTAAGAATAGCGTATTCAATATGATTTCATTTTAATAGTACCTTTCTCTTCTAATGGATAGAATGGAAGGAATCATTTAATTAATAAAATTAGTTTTGATCTGAGCTCAAAAATTTTATCAAAAACATGAAATAAGTATTATATCTATATTCTCATACCCAAATCTGTAGTATAAACTGAATTGTGTCTACCATTTTGATTAATGGAAAAAAATTATAAATACAGCATCTTCACAGATCACTTTTTCAGGCTAGAACTATATGAACTGAAATTAGGGATCCAGATTACAAACCAACTGGGAATCTGAGCAGTGGAGGAGATATAAGCCGTGCCTATAACTTCCTGTCACCCAAAATGTTTCCTTGAGTTACATAGCAAATTCATATCAGGAATCTCCTCTGTAGAACAGCATCTGGAGGAGGGGGAGATGTAGGAGGAAGTGTAAGGAGGATTAAGTATTCAATCTTGCCCATTGTTTCACTATTGAACATTCTCTGCTGCATTTTTAGGTTTCCAGCAGTGAGATGGATTTTGTGTTGAATGTATATTTCCAAACTATGATTGATGCTATTTATTCAGTAAATTTTATAGCTGTTTGATGAGTGTTTGAATGCTACTTTCTCATGATATTTTTCTAAAAACTCTGTTCTATCAACAATGAAATGATATTTCGGTAGCATTAGCTCTGAGGCAGTGGTTGATTTAAAATAAATCCATTTGATTGCTGTGCTCCTTTCTCTATTAAGAGCAGAAAATAACAAAGCAAATGTTTGGAGTGTCAACTTGAAACCTTGGTTACTTCAAAAGCAGAAAAAGAAAACCATTGTGCAGATCATGCAGTTCTTAGGAATCAGTCTTTGCTTTTGGAATCTTCCCAACTGAAAATCCCAGCTGTCAAGTGAATATTTTATTTACTTTATTAACAACCTTGATGAAAATATCTTACTTCAAGTTGAAAATAATTTAGCATGCAGTTCATTTTCCCAGATAATGACTATGCTCTAATAGATGTATATTCAGTTAAGAACAATCTAGTTATATATTTAAATAGAATCTTATATATTATAGGAAAGTATAAAAAGGCATAATTGCCTTTCTTTTTAAAATACCCAAATGTCCAAAACGGAGCAAGTGCTTTAATAGCAATATGCGCATATAAATGCAATTTTAAAACTTTCTGATGTCATATTCCTTATTAAGTATATGAAATCAAATTATAAAAGGAGGAAAAACATAGTATTGTTGAGTTATTATGAACCTTTAATGGTAGTCATTCCAGTGATTAAAAATGTCTGCCAATGGAATGGAAAGGTGATTCCTGCAGCACAGTGCATATTTGTGGAATTGATGTGGACATGTATAATGGATTGCAGGAAGAAAAGAATGGCCAAGAATATTCAACATCTTTGTCTAGTTGAGGGAATTTTCCAATATTTGAATAACTGTTATTGGATATAATTTACAGTCTACAGACAGACTTCCCAATGTGGTGGCTAAGAGTACCAAAATATCTAGGGGACTTCCTTTGCCACTCATCAGGTTCCTTGTCTCATTGAATTCTGAATTTCTGCATTAAAAAAATGAGAAGTTAGAGAGGAAGCTTGAGCACAAATGAACATGTACACATAAGTGAGGAAGAAATTCCCAAAGGCAAGAAAAGTCACCTTATTAGAGTCCCAAAGTTTCCATCTTCAAAGCAGTGGGCAAAAGAATTGTCAGGGAAATCTGAGGGTCAAAGAGCCGTAGAAGATTTGTCAGTCAGTCTTTGGCACTTGAAGAATTAAAGGTGTGAAGTTTTATTTATAATTTTTCCCACATTTATTACTTTTATAAATTACCCAAGGCAATGAACATATCTAATACCACCTCCTCCTCCTCCTCCTCTTTTTCCTCCTCCCAACAGCAAGCCTATGAGGTGAGTTGGCCTGAGAGAGAGTCCAAGTCACCTAGTCAGCTTTCATGCCTCAAATGGGACTAGAACTCATAGTCTCCCAGTTTCTAGCCTAGTGCCTTAACCACTAGACCAGTGATGGCGAATCTTTTAGAGACCGAGTGCCCAAAAACCACCCCCTGCCGACCCACAGAGCCACCCACTGCCTCCACGGCTCACCGCAGCAGATCGCCCAGGCAGCCCAGCAGCGCCATCATGGCTACACCCTCCGCCCGCACCCCACAGCATCATCTGCATGTGATGGGGTGCGAGGGCAGAGTTTTGTCCCGACTGCCATGTCTTTGGCTGCGCTGCTCTGCGCAGGCCATGCTCGGGGGCAACTTTCCTCTGGGGGGCTGCTGGTGAGGGGGCCATGGGGGGAGGTGGGGCTGGGGGCGACAGCACGCATTACCACAGAGAGGGCTCTGAGTGCCGCCTCTGGCACATGTGCCATAGGTTCATCACTACTGCGCTAGACCAAAGTGACTCTCTAAAGTTCTAATCTAATCTTCAGATTAAGAACATCTGAAGGAAGATTGAATGTTTTTCTGAAATTTTTAAAACTTGGTCTTCAAAGTATGCTTGCTTATATACGGAGAGAGGGAAAGCACTTACATCTTTTAAGTTTTTTTTTCTGATATACTTGTAATTTTCCAAACTCTTCAAATATGGTTACATGCACATGTTCTTACATGCACATGTTCTCACAGTTGCAAGGTATGTAATACTAACTTTTTAATTTTCTTTTTTAGCTGTTTAGGGAAGTAAGGATAATGAAGATTTTAAATCATCCCAATATAGGTAGAGTATGATTTAAATGTTCTTTTTTGCATAGCTGTTTATCCATTCAAATATGTATTTTTAAAATATATGTACATTTAACATCTTCATAATACATATAATTTTTAAGCACATCAATCATTCTCCTACTGCATTCAATATCTTCCTATATTTCCACAGTTTCATTCAACTATACTCAAATTTAAAAATCTAAAGTCTCAGTATGCAGATTGATCTCATAGTTATCTCCTCTATGTGAAATCTTTCTACTGGGCATGCCACTCCCTTAATGATTTGCTGCAAGGCAGAATTAATGGATTCGTCATAATATCACGAAACATTCTATGGTATATTATGAGCAGGTATCACAAATAACATTGGCTCATCATAACTCAAGTAGTTGCCACATTCTGCAGGGGAAGGCAGTTTTCAAAGTCATAAGCCTTCTGGATGTAAGTGAATACTTTATCTTGCCTGCTGTTTGTTCCCTTTCAGAGGAAGCAGTTGTATATACAGTATATCCATTACAGCTGATAATCCAAATTTCTTCTGAAGCATGTTAAAGAATATTAATTGTTGAGATATGGGAATAAGTGGATTAGATAAAAATTGAAAAGTCTGCTTTCTGTGTTTCATTCTGCCCTGGCTTTGTCTTTTGTAAGGCTGTCTCATTATCTTGTGCACTGTTCTTTATAAGTGCTCAGACATGCTCTATTACATTAATTCTTTCTGGAAAGGCTTGAGCTGCTCTGAGCAAACACTCAGCTCAGCTTCTGTTTCCTCCACCTCCAATAAGCCCTCATCCACCTGGGTAACATATGTTGAGGACCTTCAGGCTAACAGGAAAGGGAGAGCGCACAGGAAAAAGGAGAGGGAACAATAGAGTATAAAGCAAGGAGTTGAAGAGAATAAGACACTGGGGAGAAAGAAAATAATTAGAAACATTGCTAGAGAAAAAGATGAGGGGAATATGAAAGAAAGTAGGCTTCCAAATCTGGTCAGAAAAAAATTATGAAGATGACCACTGAATTACAGTAAAACATTTTTGCAGCTCAGATCTAATAGCCTTAATAAATGGAATGGTGCGTCTCAAAGAGTGCTTGCCTTTGATCTCTTCTGCTGCTGAAGTACTGGAAATAGCCGTGGTAGTGCAGTGGTTAGAATGCAGTATTGCAGGCTAACTCTTCCCACTGCCAAGAGTTTGATCCTGACCGGCTCAAGGTAGACTCAGCCTTCCATCCTTCCGAAGTCAGTAAAATGAGGCCCTAAATTGTTGGGGGCAATAACGCTGACTCTATAAATCACCTAGAGAATGCTGTAAAGTACTATGGGACGGTATATAGGTCTAAGTGCTATTGCTAAGTACTATCCATAAAATAATTTGTTTCATTGTAAAATTTTCCCCAGCTTCAGGAGACCTTGTCCTTAAAATATTTGGATCTGCTGCAGCTCTGCAGCATTCAGCAGAGGGTCGCACATGCTGAATTTATAACCCAAGTACACATTTATTTTCAAATGAGGTTTGAGTTATATCAGCTTAATTGGCATTTAAAAGTAAACACCAGTATCGGAAATTAGTTAGTTGTTACTGAAAGTAATTTTTGTGAAGTTAGCATTTTTGTAGTTTGGATATTGAAGAGAATATAGTTTGGATATTAAAGAGAATAAAGCAGTAACTAGTTTGTAGCTGCTAAGAGACTTACGTTTGGATTAAATTCTGAAGTTCAATTAACACTGATTACTTATATCTCAGAGGATTTTGTTGTTATGAACCTATCAGAAAAAAATGCTTTTCTCTCCCCCCCTTTTTTTTAAATTAACATCTTTTTTCTTAAGATGTATAACTACAATACAGTATTTTTTGGCATGGTAATGCTAAAGAACACCTAGTTAAAACACACACATTAAGTAACAACTGTGTTCATGTGATTCTAATTTGAGAAACGCTAATTTGAGAAAAACTAAGAATTAGATTATATATCTGAGATGTTATCTGAGTATATGATCCAGCTGTGAATATTTGAATAATTATTTGAAAGGAATATTTTGAATCTTGTGTGTCTCTAATCAGTATAATTCATTAGCAATGTTTAGTTCTCAATTAGTACTTTTATAATTATCAGATGTGTAGGAAGACTTGATCTTTGATCAGAGTTATAAGTTGACCAGAAATTGAATAAATATTGTATTATTAGCTTGAGGCAAAAACCTTAATTAACCAAATGTAATATAGAGATTATAATTATAAAAAAATGATGTATTAATATTGATGTCTGCCTTATTTCTATAAATTTCTTCCAGTAACCATATGCACATCTCTATTCAAATTAATCTGAAAATATCATTTCACTACCTAAACCACGGGTCTTCAAACTTGGCCCTTTTATGACTTGTGGACTTCAACTCCCAGAATTCCTCAGCCAAGCACGCTGGCTGAGGAATTCTGGGAGTTGAAGTCCACAAGTCATAAAAGGGCCAAGTTTGAAGTCCCCTGATCTAAACATACGTAATAGACTAGCATGAATAATTAAATGATATTATGTACATATACAGTATTATATGTATATATTATCATTTAATGTGGTGGCGCAATAGTTAGAATGCTGAATTCAAGGCTAATTCTGCCAACTGCCAGCAGTTCGATTCTAACTGGCTCAAGGTTGACTCATCCTTCCATCCTTCTGAGGTTGATAAATGAGGACCCAGATTGTTGGGGGCAATATGCTGACTCTGTAAACCGCTTAGAGAGGGCTGTAAAGCACTGTGAAGCGGTATATAAGTCTAAGTGCTATTGCTATTAGGAAACTGAGTAATAACATTTTTTCCTGGTTTACTTCAAAGGCCATTTTGATTTCTTTCAAATGATAGTAATATGCTTTTGAAGAAGAAGCCCCATGCAGTAGCTTCTAAATATTTCCCAAGGGCAGCACCATGTAGTATCATAATCTAAATGGGAAGTCAGTAAGGCGTCAGTAATTTTGAGACCCCTCATCCAGGAATGGCTGCAATTGGTGCACAAAATGTAACTGTACAAAAATATTTGCCACACCTGTTGCTTGCTGATCATTTACTAACCCAGTAAAACGGGGGTGTCAAACTGCCGGCCCATGGGCCGGACGCGTCATCCAGAAGCCGCACCCACCCCATTGCTGGCAATGGCAAAACCGTCCCAATACGTTCTCTGCAGTAAAACCTCAAATTATGAAGCACCTCTGAATGGAGGAGTACAATTCCCATATGTTTGGTACCAAGATCAGTATCAATCAGCATTTTACTTTTTCTTAATAAAACTTTCTATTCAAATCCTAGTCAACTAAATAGAACATATTTTTCTGACTTTCTTAAGAAAAAGAGTAATAATGGTAAAGGTTCATTTTCAGATTTTAAAATAAAATTGTTAGCATTAATGAATTTTTATGCTATCTTGAGAAGATATCAAAAGCAAATCTTGTGTTGATTTCAAATGAGAATTGTGATGATATAATGGAGAGCTAGTTTATAATTATGTATTGTATGATTGTTAATAGGCAATGTCTTGTTATTTTGTTTCTATTGCTTTAGCTTGCTTATTTGAATAAATTTAGCTGTTTTATATATTACAGTAATAAATGTTTACGTATATAATATTTTAAATCTCCTGAATGTGACAGTGAAATAACAGGATGGGCTCACTTAAATGTTTCTGCATTAGCCTTTGATTTGTTCTGGGGGGGGGGGAGTTGGCTTCCTAAAATATAATCAATGGGTGCTTCCTGAAACTACTTAGAGGTCTGAACTTAAGTGGTTTTAGTACTGCATCCCCTAATAGAGAAAAAATACTATTGTTACAATGCAGAGAGCTTTCTTTCGGCTGATGTTTAGCAAGGCTTTTGACATTTTTCTGTGAATACTCATCTCTGCCTGTAAACTGCTTTTGAGATTCCCCTGTGATTTTAATTATAGAATATGCAGTTCAGCTTAAGGAGAGGCTATGACTCAGTGAAAACAACATACTATGTAGAGTCAATCCTTAGCATTTCTAGCCAAAGGACATTAAATGGAAAATTGAGATGGCAATTTGCAAAAGGAGCCAGGTTTCTAATGTGCTTAGCAATTCTTTGCTATTCTTGTATTCCAAGGAAAATTTGATTAAAATATGTTTTTTGTATTTGATATACGGTAATTCACTGGAATATCAGGTAGGAGAATGAAATACAGAAATATTGGACAAGTAGATACATATAACTGATAGCATCTCTAAATTGGTTCTTTCTCTTTCTTTTTTGGGGTTGTTATTGTTCCAGTTAAATTATTTGAAGTAATTGAGACTGAAAAAACACTCTACTTAATCATGGAATATGCAAGTGGAGGTAAGTTCAAACATTTGCAGGCAAAACACTTATCTAGCTTCTATGTATATAAAATTTTAATTTTGAAAAAGAAATTTAAGAATCACCACTTTCCTTTCATTGTAAATATAAGAATACTTAATTATTTTCAGTGGTTACTTTTCCCTTGTTATTAAGCAAGGATTCTAAAATTATCTAGAATAGGACTCCAGAACTTTAGATGTTTGTTCTTTCAAAAAACACTTGTACTTGTTAATTTATTTGCCCTGTTTAAATAACTGTATTTGTTATATTAATAAACTTCCTTTCTATCCAGTTGGGAAAATAAAAAGTGTAATTCTTGAAATGTGTATTTTCCCCTCAGTTCTTTCTTTTATGTCCTTGGTGCTTTCTATATTTTCTAAATAACATATTAATTTGCAAATAAACATTTTTACACTGGTTTGTCCTTTGTACACAGTACAGTATATCATTTGCACAGCACAGTATATTACTTTCTTTTTTATTTGTTCACAATAAAACATTTTATAGATAGACTGTTATGATTAGCTATCAAAATGTTTGGAGTTAAGCCTAAGAATTGTCCACAAACAAGATAATTTTATCTTCATTACTTCCTCTTTATTTTGCATTTTGGAAAACAAAATGAAATCTCGGTCACTAAGAGTTATAAAAGAGATCTGATTGTTCGTAGACAGAACAATTTATTTATATTTAGCATGTAAATATACTGTAGGAAATGATTGGACAGATTTTTTTTTATTTACATAGAATAGCTTCCTTCTACAATGACAAAGAACAGTGGGAAAGAACACTGATTAGATTAACTGGTTATTAAAAATTAACTGTGGGAACAGTTTATAGTCATATTTAATAGAATATAAAAGAAATTTTAAATGTTTTTCAAAGCATCGGAACTTAACTGTTTGGCAATACTTTGATACTTTTATCTCCTCAGGAATCAGTGCTTACAGTTGTTTCTTATTATTTTAGAACCAGTTAGCTTCCCCAAATCCTCAGATACTTCTTAAATAATTGTGTGTTTTACATTTCATATTTAGTTTTATTTACTTATTTATTCTAAAAGTTATAAATGAATTAAATCAGGTCAGGATGTTCTTCATATTGGGCTTCAAATCACATTTAATCCCTTGTGGTTTTATTATGATTGATTGCTACTTCAGTATTTTCCCTATCTTGGCTTAGTCATGCTTTTGTTTTTTAATTTAATTTTTATTAATATTCTGGACACTCCCAATATTTGATGTTAAATTGTCTTCTGAAAATGAGGTGTTTAATTGCTCTGATTTTTTCCTGCAGTTTGTCTTGCAGGTAGGAAAAGACATATTTCAATGATAGCTACAAGCTGAAAACTATATCAAGTCTTATACATACAAATAATTTCCTCTGTATAAAATCTTACTACCATCTAAATAAGGCAAAATTAATCCTTTTCTAGACCATTGGTTGGCTAAGTCCCAATAGTTACCTACCAACTCTATTGATTTTCTGTTGTTTCTGGGTTCAATATAAAGTACAGTTAATGACTGTTAAAGCACTTAATGGTCTTGGGCTAGATTATCCAAGATCAATTTGAGTCCATTAACCTGCATAGCGTTAAAAATGTTTTCAGAGACTTACTAGGGATAAGATGGTCAGGTACATGAAGGCACCTATTTTATTGATGATGTCAACATTGAAGAATATTTTTAATGCCTGGAAATCTATAGCTTTTCCCATCACCACTTATTATTGTTTTTGTGGTTGTTGTTGTTGTTTAAAACCTTTGACCACACAAAGCAGCTAATGGATTCATCATTCTCCAAGCACTCACCTTTCTATCTAATCTTTGAATTCAGGAGTTTCTTTTACAGAGCCTCTCCATCCAATCTTCCCCTCTGGGTAGATGTTCTGCACCATCTCCCTCTCAGATACACCAATAATAGCTATACCTCCTACAACTGACCCTATCCCCTTGGGTTCCCCATCTCTGGTGATCACAGAAAATGATGTGCAAGGTCTATTTCACAGACAAAAGCCTGGAAAAGCATCAGGCCCAGACAAGATAACTCCTTGCTTGAAAGCTTGTGCTGATCAATTGGCCCCCATCTTCACCCGAATCTTTAACAAATCACTAGAGATGTGCTATGTTTCTTCTTGCTTCAAATGCTCTACTATCATCCCAGTGCCAAAGAAACCCTCCATCAAAGAACTGAACGACTACAAACGGGTTGGTCTGACATCTGTAGTTATAAAAAACTTTGAAAGGTTAGTGCTGGCCCACCTGAAAACTATCATAGATCCGCTTTTAGACTCCTTACAATTTGCCTACCAAGCAAATAGATCAGCAGATGATACTGTTAATACAGCTGTGCACTACATCCTACCATATCTTGAATATCCAAAGACCTATGGCAAGGGTCCCTTTTGTAGATTTCAGTTCAGCATGCAATTCCATCATTCCAGATATTCTTTTCACTAAACTAAATCAGCTAGCCGTGCCTGACGACACCTGTAAGTGGATTATAAGCTTTCTAACAGACAGGAAGCAGCAAGTGAAGCTAGGCAAAATCACATTAGATACCTGTACAATTAGCACAGGGGCCCCCCAGGGCTGTGTGCTGTCTCCATTTCTCTCTATATGCTAATGACTGCATCTCAAAAGATCCTTCTGTTAAAGTACTGAAGTTTGCAGATGATACTACAGTGATTGGCCTCATTCGAGACAACAACGAATCAGCATACAGAAGGCAGGTTGGACAACTAGCTTTGTGGTGCGGCCGGAATAATCTTGAACTGAACACACTCAAAACTGTAGAAATGATAGTAGACTTTAGAAGAAACCGTACTATTCTACAACCTCTTATAATACTAGACAACACAGTATCAATAGTAGAGACCTCCAAGTTTCTAGGTTCTATAATATCTCAAGATTTAAAATGGACACCTAACATCAGAAATGTCATAAAAAAGCACAAAGAATGTTCTTCCTGCACCAACTCAAAAAGCTCAGACTGCCCAAGGAGCTGCTGATACAGTTCTACAAAAGAATTATTGAGTCTGTCAATTGCACGTCTATAACTTTCTGCAACCAAACAAGACAGACACAGACTTCAACGGATAGTTAGAGCTGCAGAAAAAACAATTGCTACCAGCCTTCCATTGAGGACCTGTATACGGCACGAGCAAAAAAGAGGGCTGTGAAAATATCTACAGACCCCTCACATCCTGGCCATAAACTATTTCAACTTCTTCCCTCAAGACGACGCTACAGGGCATTGCACACCAGAACAACTAGACATAAGGACAATTTTTCCCCCCATGCTGTTACTCTGCTTAACAAATAATTCCTACAACACTGTCAAAATACTTAGTAAAGCTGTATTACTATGATACTCGTCATCTTTCCTATTACCTATCCTTATCTTATGACTATAACTTCGCTGCTTGTATCTTACAATTTATATTGGTTTTTTTGTACCCTAGTATGATATATGGTGTTTGCTTAGCTAGTACTCTATGACTATCACTGTCTTGTATCTTATGATTTATGATGAAGTGTTATATTTAATGATTTATGATGAATTATTTTCATGTTGTATATGATAATGACTATCACTATTATTTGTATGTACATTGAGAGCTTATGTACCGAAGCAAAATCCTTGTGTGTCCAACCATACTTGGCCAATAAAGAATTCTATTCTATTCTATTCTATTCTGTGTAAAATTTTAAAGTAGGCTTGTTGTGTTTTAGTTACTGCATTGTGATTTGTTCTCTACTCTGTTTTGACAATACAGCTTATGAAAGAGAACGTTATCAATAACATAATCACAATGCCTAGTCTAAAACAAATACTGGCATTCGATTCATTGATGTCAGGCTAAGCCTAAGAACAACATGAAACACAATTCAGCCATAGTTCGATTCTATATTTGCTTACACATAACAGACCGAATCTTGCCAGACTAAATCCTTGCTGTCCTCAGCCTAACAGATATAACCTGTGAGATTCTAAGGAGTGGCTATCATTCTCGTATCCATTTCCAGGCTATGTTGCTTCTTGTCTCCCTCCACTTTTCTGGAATGTGCTCCCTCTTTACTGGGAGGAAGTACATATATAAATTATTTAAAATAGTTGAGCCTAAAACCTATAAAAGAGGCTAGTTTTATGAATGGTTTTTAGAGATTGACTATACAGGTAGTTCTCCGGTATGAACAATTGCTCAGCTATTGTTCAAAGTTACGATAATGTATTTATTATGTGTTACTGGAAGTGGAAGTAATACACATCCAATTCCCTGCTGCAGATAGAAAACAAATAATAATTACTGACATATAAGAACAGGAAAAGATCAGAACAAAACTCAGGTGGGATACTTGGAGTGGGGGATAAACAGTGATATCCCTAATTACGTTATTCCTGACTTCAGTTCTCAATAGCAAATGAGCATATTCTGTTATATGTTCTTTATAACACAACTAGTACTTCCCTTGAAGGAATATATTAACAAATTATGAGTAACCTTTTCATTTTTTCCATTTGATATTTTACTTTTTATTTGCATATTATGCTATAATATATTTTATTTGCATATTATATTAAAATAGGGAGCCTTTGATTTTTTTTTTCACTATATCTGTTTGAAAAGAACAAATTACAGTTCTTAATTTGTATAATATAACAACATGGTTTTGTTAGCAAGCATGTTCCTAGAAGACTCATTCTGAGCAGATCAAAAATTGTTGTATTGTCATTATATTTAGGGTGACTTGTTAATTGGATTTTCTTTAATCAGTATATAGCTTTCAATTTGAAAGAATATTATTTTTCTAAAATACTTAAATATTTTCCCAACAAATTTTTAGACAGTATGAAGATATATCTTGTCTGGCCACATACTAAAAAATTAAAAAAATACATTAAGATAGTAAACAATTTACATTTTCTTACATGTTTGTCATATTTCCCTTACTGCTGCTCTTTGTATAGCCAAAGCAATTTTATTGATATGGGGGGAGGGGGATATTTTAATGTAGCCCAGTGACACAGTGACAACTAAGTATAATTTGTATAAGTGGTTGCTGGCTGATTATTGATATGGCTGTTACAGGTGCCTCAGGTAGGGGGAAGCCTAGCATAGGCCCACATCCACCTGTTCTTGGCCTTCCACAGTCTCCTCCCCCCAGGTACCCTTCCTGCCCCTTGGGATCTCCATAAGCTTTGGGTCTGCTTTCCCTCCCCACCAGGTCCCACATTTTCCTTCCTACCCCTTGTCACCAATCACTAACTTATGTTCTGTGGAACTCCAGAGCTCCAGAGATTGAATTAGTGAAGGAGAGCAGGCCGTTTTGCCACTGGGCATCACTGCTAGCTTCATGGCAATATCCAATATCTATATTGTGGCCACTCCAAAAATGGTATCCGCTTCCGGGACAGATTCATGCAGCCTAGGGATGCCAAGAAATGGAGCAGCTTGTTTTTTGTCTCCAACGCAAGCTCTGCAGCTCTGGAACTCTACAGAAGACAAGCGAGCAATCAATGACAGGTTGGGGAGGAGGGTCTGGGACTCAATGGAGTATGAAAGCAGGCTCAAGGCCTGTGGAGCAGAATTGTGAGAGAAATGGGCAGGAGGCTACTACAGCATCCCTGCTGTCAATCATAAAGGAAAATCCACCCAAATTTTGTTCATGTGATTGCAGGGGCACTGCAGTGGCCATAACTTTGAAACCGGGTGATGAGTAGCTTTAAAGGAGTCCATTATAACTTTGAACTTAGTGACCAGTCATAATTTGCAAATTAGTATGGAGATTATTTTTTTTCCTGTTGGGCCTAAATAGTTTGGAAGTTAAACTGCTCTGTTCTAGACCCTGAAAAAATGGGGTTGTGAAGAGCTTTCACATATTTTCCAAGGTGAGGGATTGTTGCTTTGGCATATGTTTTTCTTGCAAACTCCAAATGTGAGAAACATTTATAGGGATCTTCCTTGAAGTCATGCAACTCTCTCAAGTATAGAAGCATAGTAATCACAGTCTCTGCTTCCCTAACTGCAGAAGTAATTTCTTACATATACATTATGGGGGAACTTTAAAGGAATGCAAGGGATGTTATCCTGAAATTCTTTCCAATTCTCTAAAAATATGTGGACTATATTTGTTATAGGATGGGAAAGCAGCTCACATAATTTCCCCAAAGTCATCTGCGGATCATTATATGCAAAAGTTCAGGAGAGCTACAGGCTCTAAATATAGGGTTACAGATGATGGAAAATTTCTAATAACTGGACAGAGGAATCTGTCTGTGGTAGTATAAGAAATTGATTCAGGCAGTTTCCCCCTTCATATTATATTCATGTACTTACTCTTGATTCTAACACTAGGTACAAGTCATTATAAAATGTCTTCAGTTTCCCATCATAAGTGATTTAACTTTCTGTGATATTGCTGCAACAATAATTTTGACCTTATTTAATACAGAAAATGGGGAAGAATTTGACATAATGGACAGCAAACATTCTCAATATTTGAACTGTCCCATAAACTACAGCTTGGGGGGGGGGAAGAAACATGATCATGGCTTAACAAATCATATGCAAAACTAAAAATAATATAAAATCATATTGTATACATAATAATACTTTTTTCTTCCTTGTGTTACTAAAAGTTAATTACCCAGTTCCATTTATTATAGGAGATTGAGCACAGGCAAAATTATCTCTTTCATGCAATATGCAGTTGAAATGGAATCTACTAATCTAAATGAATCACCATTTTGGATCAAAATTATTTGGTGTTATTTATTATTGCTGTCATGATTATCTTACGTCACTAAGATTAGAAAAAGCGTGTTTTGGAATACCAATTCCAACATTGATGAGAAAGTTGGAAAGTGTTGTCATTTCTTGTAGTTATTTGGCTTACCTATCTAAATAATTATAGCCCATTTATCCTCCACAGAGTTTCAAAATGTTCACAGTAGTTGAAAATTAATCTTAATGTAAAATGATTGTTCTAAAGTATTAAACAAAAAACCAAAAACTAATAGAAATACTATAACAATTCTGAAGATGTTTAATAAAACATAACTTGAAATCTATAAAATTACACATGAATGTTCTGTTAGTTTCTAATTATATATTTATTGTCACAGTGAAGAATAATTTACTATTTGATCATTAAGTGATCTGTTTTTCTTTTTTATGCCTTAATTACAGGGGAGGTATTTGATTATCTAGTTGCACATGGAAGAATGAAGGAAAAAGAGGCAAGAGCGAAATTTAGACAGGTATAAAAATAATTTGATGTAAAATATTTCAAGATTTTTTCCTGTTAGTGATTGATCTCATCCTTATAGAGACATTTGTTCATGGTGGAAAATACTGATAAAATTGACTTCAACAATGTGACAGCAGTCCACCAATATTGATGCTGTAAGTTATATGATACAGAATTAAAGGAAGGTAACTCCTACATAATTCAGTGTTTCTACAAGGAGTTAATGGAGAGTACTTTTAATAGAAGAATCCAACCAGAGCAGGAAAAGACTATTTAGGCCATTAAATCTAATCTCAGTTCTATAAAGGAACCTGAAGGATTGACAACTTATGTCTGTCTCTCTTCAACTTTCGTATGTCAAGTAAAGAGAAGCAAAAAAACATTATTGTGGAATGTTTCCTAATATTCAATTAGAGTCTGCTTTCTTTATCTTAAATTGATTTTGATGCCCTGTAGGATGAGAACAGGTCTTGGTATCTTCTGTTTGATACTTTTTCAGATATTTAAAGAATGCTGTCATATTCCCTCTTGTTTTCAGGCTAAATATCTCCATTCTTTCAATATTTCATCATAGGATTCAATTTCTAGCTCCCTGATAATTCGTTTTGCTATTCTCAGAACCTGTTCCAGTTTGTCTAATTCCTTTTTAAAGTCTGATGCCCACAACTGGGCACAAGCTTTGCGAGGCAGTGTGATTAACCTAGAAGAAAGTGGAACTATTGCGATTTTAATATGTTTTTATTGCTGTTTAAAATTTCATTTGCTGTTCATGCAGTAATCACATTGTTGCTTATTCTCAGTTTGCAACCAACTTGCTTTTGAAGACTTTTTTCACAAGTGCTGTTACCAGCTGTTCCTCATCCTATACTGATTTCTTTTTCCTAAGTGAAGAATTTTACTTTTATCTGTTATATTTCAATCCGTTAATTTTTAGTTCCTTTTTGTAAAATGGTTTTACAAAATGGTTTATGAACGGGATATTAATATTCCATCCAATGTGTCATCTGCAGATTTGATAAACATTTTGTTCACTTGCTCAGTCAAATAATTAATAAAAATATTAAAAGAGTAGAGAACCCAAAACAGTTCCTTAGTGGCATTCCACATGATTTCTTCTCCAGCTTGCTGAGCACTACCTCTACACTACTCCCTTCAGAGGTTATCCACAAATGTGACCAACTTCAGTCCCACATTCCAGCCTAAACCTCAAGCTGGAAGAGTTTCTGTGGATCCTCCTCTTTCACTCTTATATACATTTATTCTCTACCTTCATCTGATACTTCATTACCTGTCCAGAATTCATAGCGGTTCAACCAGATTATCAATAAGCTCTCTTGCTTTGCATCTGGCCTTAGAGAGTTCAAGTTACTCATATTACGCTTTTCCAGTCCCATGCTTTAGACTTGCCCCTTCATTCTGCTCTTTGTAATTGCCAAGAGGAACACATCCCATCTTATTGAGGAAGATTGAGCAGAAGCTGGAATTGAGTAATTTATGTTTTTGTTTTCTTTCTTTTTTTGTCTGCTAGTATTTTACAGTCTTAATTATGCAGATAATATACTAATTTCTCTCTTTATTTTGAACATTTCTGAATGAGTTCTTTTAATTGTTCTTGATATTCTTTGTCAATCTCTGCTCACTGTAATACCAACTTTGCAATTATGGACTATCTCTGTGTACTCTTCGTTGGTGGTACATTACTCTTTCCTCCATCTATATGCATCTTTTATATGTGCTGTTTTAATTTTCAGATCTTTTACTGAGCATTTTGTTGTAGTCATGTAGGCTTTTTATGCAGTATTGCAAATTTGTTTTCCTTGTTAGAATTGGTTGCCTTAGGTTTTTTATTATAATCCTTGTTTATGTTATTTAAATAGTTTTTTTCTGAACTCTACAATGAATTACTTTTGTGTAATTATGTTATTACCATTACAATCTTTAAAATAACTTTCTTAGAACCCAGATTCCTATCTTCACATCATTTTTAAAAATAGATTTTTATTTTTGCATATGGGAACTAAAATGCTACATAGCAAAGGACTCACCTTCACCATTAATTTTATTTCAAGAATATGCATGGGCACATTTAGGATCCATGGGAATTACTTAGAAAATTTTAAAAAGTGGGCTGCTAATGGAAGATTAATAATAGCCAATGTAAATAATAGATTTGCCTTCAGTTTTGTAGTAAATACTACTATTTGAATAATTCTTACTAATTTTGAGAAATATATTTGGAGCTGCACCCCTTCGCACTCATAATATGTCCTGTATTGACTCTATAACTTTTCCTAATTTTAAGCACAGTTGCTAGAATATATGACTGCAAAATCTGATTCTATAAACAATGTCTATTTTTATCATTGAACCTTTCTATCCAGATAGTATCTGCAGTGCAGTATTGCCACCAAAAGCATATTGTTCACAGAGATCTCAAGGTAAGAGAATTATAAAGAATTTTATGTGACAATAATTTGCATTTTAGTCCATATTTTGTTTTACTCTTGCATTTAACTTTTGCTTTAGTCTGAAAAAAATAATGGATTACATTCTGTGACAAAGATGAACTATTGCTTGGCATGTTAATAAGGCTAATATTTGGCTGGCATTTTAATAGAATTGAACGTATTTTAGGAAAACATATAAAAAGTATTTTAAATTTTTTTTTATACTAAATAGGGCTCTGTTGCACAAGCAAAAGATGATTTAAAGGCAAAAGTAGAAGCAACACATCTAACTCCTTATTTTAAGCTTTACATAGCCTCACACTGCCTATGTTTACTATTCCATCACTCCTTGTCTCTATGAAAAGTTGTTCTTACTCAGTGTGATATAGTCTATTTCCAGACTGTAACAGAAGTAACATTCCAGCTTGCATATACTATAATATCCTCAAAACTCCATCTTTCTTTGGGCTTTCAGCATCTTTGATTAATTTCCCTTATTTCTTCAGTTCTTCATGTGTTGTTCCAAGATTTTAAACTTCTTTTCTTGCTTTCCTTTCCTTCTTCAGTGGCCACCTTTAAAACTTCAACTGTTTCACTTTAATTTCTCACTGCCAAAAGCTTCTACCTGATCTTTCCTTTTTTACTCAGTTCTAAACAATATTAATTCAGAAAATGCATTATGAAACTTCAGCTTTTGAAAAAAAAAATCAGCTTTTTGCTATCTTCATAAAGATGATAAATCTTTATTAAGTAATAATATATAATTGGGTATATTTTACATTATTTATTTTCAGTTGCCAGATAATGTTCAGCTGTTTATCTGTTAAATCTTTAACTGTTATGCCAATTATATAAACTACATCTTGAAGTCCAGCTGTTTATTTTTTGTGCCAAAAATCCCCCCCCCCCCCAGTCTCATCAAATTATTTTTTCCCTATAGGCTGAAAATCTATTACTCGATGCAGACATGAACATTAAAATAGCCGATTTTGGTTTTAGTAATGAGTTTACAGTTGGTAATAAACTGGACACATTTTGTGGCAGCCCCCCCTATGCTGCTCCAGAACTCTTCCAAGGCAAGAAATATGATGGACCTGAAGTAGATGTTTGGAGCTTAGGTGTCATTCTTTATACTCTTGTGAGTGGATCTCTGCCTTTTGACGGGCAGAATCTAAAGGTATGTAGCTAATTTATATTTAAAAGATGAGGAATGGGAAATACTTCTTATGTCATTTCTCAGCTGTATCAGCATATTGACTGCTTTTTGTAATGTTCTGATCGCTGTTGATTTAAGGAACTCAGAGAGAGAGTGTTAAGAGGAAAATACAGGATTCCTTTCTACATGTCAACAGATTGTGAAAACCTGCTAAAACGTTTCCTGGTGCTAAACCCAACTAAAAGAGGCACTCTTGAGGTAATAGCATACTGAATAAACTTTTATTTTACTGTAACAGTAGTAGTAGACTTAATAATTTTTACATTTATTTTTGCATAGAATATATTCCTTAATAACTTTGCATCTGCTAGATCTCCCCGGTTGTTTTTCAGTTGCAGAAAGAGAAAACATACTTGGATATTTTAAAATGCCTACAGCATATTTTATACCAGATATAATTAACTTTCCTCACATGCCCTCTCCATTACTTGAGAAACTCAAACCTTGTTGCTGGCTATACAAACATTGCATATTGTGCTAACCATGGCATTATACAGTTGACCAAAATTATTATATTGTTAATAATGAATTCTGTCCTTGGTGTTTTTAAGTTTCTGAATTTTAAAGAGGTGTTGTGTTCCACCTGAAGTGTTCTTTGTAAGTCGGAATCTAGCTGAATGACTTAATTATAGCAATCTGATCCTTTCTGATCATTAGATTTATTTTTGTACCAATACACCCCCATAAATTAGTGTATTGGCAACAGTTGTATTGAGGTTTCTAATGTTAAATATTGATATTTTAAAACGTTTGTTTAAAACAGTCTTGAAGAACTAGAAAATGGGACCATTTCTTTTTAAGATATGAGCAGAGTACTACTATTGGAGAATAGCTAGGCATGTGATATGTAATTATTACTAAATGATCATCAATTACTAAATAGATTACTTACTGCCTATTACTAAAACTGGTTGATGGCGTTCTTTCTAGAGCCAACAAAGCTCTGAAGCCACACAATCCTTTCAGGAATGGCAAAGGTGCTCGTTTTTAATATTCAGCAGTTTGTGGTGGCTCCTGAAAGCCTTATGTGTCTTCAGCGCTTTGTCAACTCAAGGAAGGAGGATGCTATCCACCATTTTTAGTAATAAGCAGTGTGTTTGTAAGTATAAGTCCCAACTTTAAAAAAAAATCGGGTTAAAGTCAGAGTTAGAGATGGGAACTTATTCTTATCCAGCTAGATGTCTAGACTAGATTAGTCATGTTTATCCACCTATTGAATCCTTCCCAGGACTTGGAATATAGGCAGATTTTTATTATGATTCGTTGCACAATCAGCCAATATTCAGACTGGATTTCCCAAGAACCTGAGATAGGCAGATGTGAATGTTCGATGGTGCTACAGATATCATTGCAGGATGTAAGTGGTTGCAAGTAAAGCTGCCTTTTGCAATTGACTGTTGGTGAATTTGTCAATGCCAGTGGTGTTCAACTAGTGTTCCAGTTGTTGTGGGATTGCTCTCAAGGCACATATTACTATCGGTACTACCTTTGCTTTCTATTGCCACAGTTATTCTATTTCTATTTGCAGGTCTTTGTATTTTGTTATCTTCTCCAGTTCCTTCTCTTCTCTTCTGCTGTCTGCAGGTACTGCCACGTCCACTATCCAGATGTTTTTGTCTTTTTTATCAACAATTGTTAAGTCTGGAATGTTACGTGGCAGGTGCCTGTCTGAGCACTTTAGCTTCTTCATTTTCTGTTACTTTCTCTATTTTATGGTCCTACCAGTTCTTGCTTGCAGGGTTAGGGTTAGGCATTTTTATTTGTTATTGTTGTTGTTGTCATTGTTATTACATATATATACATAATATAATAATAAAAGATTCATTTAGGGATTCCAACTATGAAGTCTGGAAAAACGTTTTCCCCACTTTTTTAATGATTGTTTGATACTGAACATTTTTTTTAATATTTGTTTAATGTATTTTATATTATGTATTTTATTATTATTTTAATAACTGCATATACACAGTATATACTAAATAATATTTGTTTTTTTTTCTGGAAGAAAGAAAGGAAAGCAAAAATAATTTATATACCGATGTTGTCCATGTTAGCCCTTTTCCCTTAGAAAGCGCTTGTTTAAAACAAACATCAAAATGATTTGTGAACGTGTTTTTAGAATCAAAGCGGAGATCTATTTAAAGCATTTGTTTCATTGGAAGCCAGCAGTCTGTCTCTGAGAAATCCAGAAGAGGACACAAGGCTGATAACGTTTCTCAACAACTAGTTCTGATATGCTAGAGATAATATGTATCCATCTTGATGAGTATGTTTTGTTAGCCTTATCCTTGGTCTAACGAACCTGGGTTGTAGAAATCCAGAAAATATCCACTCCATTAGTGCATCCATCCAGTTGTCCGAATTTTTGCAGCCATAATAATAATAATAATAATAATAATAATAATAATAATAATAATAATAATAATAATAATAATAATAATAATAAAAGTTGGAAGGGACCTTGGAGGTCATCTAGTCCAACCCCCTGCTCAGGCAGGAAACCCTATACCATTTCGGACAAATGGCTGTCCAGTCTCTTCTTAAAAACCTCCAGTGTTGGAGCATTCACCGCTTCTGGAGGCAGGTTGTTCCACTGGTTAATTGTTCTAACTGTCAGGAAGTTTCTCCTTAGTTCTAGGTTGCTTCTCTCCTTGCTTAGTTTCCACTATTCTTGCTTAGTTTCCACTATTCTTCATGTTAGTTATATTATGTGAAGGAATCTGAAATACTAATTAAGTGGTATACTGGTAATTGTTTAACAACTAGCTCTGCTAGTTCCATTGCTGCCATTGCTACACGCTGTACAGTTGATCTGCATGCTTGGCATAGTAGCTTAACTCTTTTCCTAGGCAGCTAACAAAATTCCAGAAAATTTAACCATCAGCTCTTATGAGCTGGAACAACCTGGCTCCACCACAACACTGTACCATACTAACTAAGAATCATGGAGAAAAATGTAACAAGCTAATTTCTTCCACAAACTATCGTATTGGTAAGCTGTTGGTGAAAACAATGTCTGGTAAAGTGTACCCTGTTTCAGAGCAATGGAAAAAAGGCATACATGACATGATACTTACAGTGAACCAGCAGATTTTTTTGAGACTCCTTGTGAGAGAAATGTCCCTATTCATTTATACAAATTTGCCATTGTGCAAATTGCAAAAAGAGAAAAAGTTACAGATAGAAAATATTTAAGGAAAGGATTGCAGCATATCTGAAATTATACTGATTTGCTTCGATTGAGGCCAATATTTTAGCCCTCTACTATAGAATGATACAGGGCTCTTATTAGCATGCCTCTCCTTCTCTTTCTTTGGTATTGTGACCACAGAAGTTGTAGCCACTAAGACCTGTCTGTTTTAGCAGCAAGCATCCATCCCATCTTATTCTTAGGAAGAAATCAAAGATTGCTTAGATAACCATACTTCTATTTCCTTTGTGGGGACCATTTCTTTCTCTCTTTGTATCAGTGTAAGCCTATAAAGCAGAAACATCCCATACTGTCCTTCCTTCCTCAGTAAGTGTCTGACAGAAGGTGATTCAGTAGTTATATTCATAGGGGGGGAGGGGTATGTGATGGATTGTAATAGAAAGGCTAGGTCACAGAATCATGATAATTTCAATATAGCCTGAACTAGTTCTTAATATGGACTTTTTTAGCTATCATTCCAGCTTTCCATTGCTAGAATTTAAAATTTATGTCTGGTGCATTGTATGCAGAATAAGAAAGTAAGATTTGGGAAAAATAATATTGCCACAGATTAAAAATATACACTTATTTATTTTGCTCTATATAGGATGAAGTCAATTGTGAGTATTAGAAGGAAAGGCAAGTGCCAGTGCTTATTTCTCAAATAAGGCAAGCTTACTTGCCTTCAGTTATTTAAACTATTAAGATGTGAGCTTTACTAGAGATGTTTGTTGCTGTTGGAATAATATAAAAACTGTCTTTGCAGCAAATAATGAAGGACAGATGGATCAATGCAGGACACGAAGATGATGAACTTAAACCTTTTGTGGAACCAGAATTAGACATTGCAGACCAGAAGAGAATAGGTAACCAATGAATTGAGATAGGAAACATTAATTAATAATTAATTAATTAATAAAATAAATAGTGTAAATTGTAATATGGAGTACTGGTTCATTTATACAGGAGAAACATCTTTGCCATAATATGTCTGTAAATTGAGTTAAATGTCCTGTTACAAATCTATAATTTATATAATATGCCAATCAAACCTAAAAACTCATTTTTAGATATTATGGTTGGAATGGGATATTCTCAAGAAGAAATTCAGGAATCTCTCAGTAAAATGAAATACGATGAAATCACTGCTACATATTTACTACTGGGGAGGAAATCATCAGAGGTAAGTAAACTTTGCAAACTAACATAAGCTGAATATAATCACAAAGCATATTGTTTTATTACTCTTTCTTTAAAATTAGTACTGTGTGTGGTCTGTGTGTGTGTTCAGTATTTAGCAGCACAAGTTAGTTCCCGTATCAAGTGTGCAGCAATTCTTTTTAAATAGACACATGAATTTAAGGCTTATGTTCTCATCATAGTAAACTAGGGTGTAAGATATCTGAATTGGCTTATAGCCTTGAATATAAAAACAAATAATAGTTTGGCTTAACAAGCATCTTAATATACTTGAAATAGTACATTTAGGAGAGACAGTTTGGTGTTATGGTTAAGGCAGGCATGTCAAACTTGTGACATCACATGACGTTGCACGACATATCACAACTTTATCCCCATTGCCAGCAATGGGGTGGGCGTGGTTTTGGCGTGATGCATCCGGCCCATAGGCCAGCAGCTTGACATGCCTGGGTTAAGGCATAAGGCTAGAAATCAGGAAACGGTGCTTCTTCTTAAGCAAGATTATATTTTCTGTCTATGTGTCTGTTATTTTACATATATCTGTTTTCTTTTTATAAGATGGGAGAAAAAGGAAATTAGGCACACCCACACCCACACAAGCATTTTTAGTATTAATACAGTAAAGATAATCGTTTTAGAAAGAAATTGCCAGAGTTATTTACTGATATCCTGCTCTGTGATCAGGGGAAATGCAGATGCAAGATGTCAGATGCACATCTTCATCTTACTGATGCTGAAGTACTATAAGCTCTGAATATTCATTGACAGTTGCCAACTGATACCAAACATGCAATGGTAAGGGAAGCACTAGGGAATTTTATATTTCTCCTATAGCAGCCAACATTTTAAAATGAAATCTGTCTTTTTTT